GCTATTCTCAGTCCTGCTCAATATTAATCTCAATAAACAGACTGATCATAGATTTTTTAGCACGTGGTTAGAGTGTGAGCTAACAGTTTACAGAGACCGGCAATGATGATGTTATAAATAATGCATTTCCAATTAATGTTGCCTGTAGATAGAAAAACCCATAAACAACCAGAACAGGTGTATTCTTATTAGACTGGACGGTGAGTTAGAGTACTGTCTTGTCACTGAAACCATGTTCTGTTCATGTAAAGCCTTCAGAATAATGTAGTGTATCAGCCCCTTGACCATCCTCACCTGTTCTCCATTCAACTCCCCCGCTTGCTCTCTGCCACATTCTCTCTGTATCTCATTGTGTGTACGTTGCTCTCCAGCCTTTTCCTTATGTCCACCCTTGTGTTTTTATTATTATTATTATTATTATTATTGTTGTCTACTGCTTGCTTGTTGCTGCTTACCTGTGTGTGACCTCGGACTTGTTCAGTAATTGTAATGTTTACTTCTCTGCTTAGTCGTGTTTACCAGAGTTGTTACATGTGGTTGTGTGTTGATATCAAACCCTGAGCAGTGACAGATGTTACATTAGTTTCTTCCTCACCAGCTGTTGGCACCACATACAGTATGGCCCAGATCTGATACAGTCATTGCAGGTGTTGATCACTGACTTTGCGCAGACTTCCTCTTGTTGACACGAACCTGCAAATAAAACCACAAACTCTTTACAACACAAACACATAAACTGTACAAACTGCTGAAATAATATGTTTTAGACACAAATGACTGAAATCCATTCAAACTGATTCCTGCCTTCAGTAAGATTGTTGCAAACAAAGTGCATGAAGCAATCTCAAGTCAACAGCAATGTTTATTTTATTGAAATCCCTCAACGGTAATGAAATATGTATTTAGAGGTAGATTGTTAATAATGTGTTCACCTTATAATTCATAAAACAGTTGTCATTGATATTGGTGAGTCTATCACTGCTTGGTAATAGACTGAACCTCATTATGACTTATGCTGTCCAGTCACTTGTCTTCTTGTGACAAAACAACCCTAACAGGGTCCTCACTCAGTACTTCATCACAAATTTTTAAAAAGCTTAATAAAAAGGTAGGTATTTTATCATCATCATTCATTCTTATTATTTTTATTTTAGTATTCCTGCTGTGATGAAAACCATGTGAGGTTAAAGTGAGTAGGTTTTACAACTTTAGGGAATAAGGTTCTTTGTGAACTGAATGAGAACATGGCCTGAGCATGCTTTATTACTGAAATTCACTGTTTCCCTGTTTTTGCCCTTGAATTAATTCCACCACCTGGCTAGCCAATGACAAACTGGTTACTGTGTAGTTCATACAATCCCTGAGGTATTGAACATAGTCATTTGATATTACAACTGAATCATTGATTCGATATCAACATATCATCAGATGATCTTTAAGATTTGCAAAAAAGTAGTGAAATGTTGCCTTTTTAATCTTACCATTTCCTCCCATCAACAGAAGCAGAAGAAACAACAAACACTGATCCATCTCCTGTTGACAAAAAACAAACACATTTGCTCTCAGCAGGATTATGACAGGACCACAATATACTGACTATCATACTCATTTGAACTACTTTATTCTTGATGTACACCTGAAAACATCAAATACCATGACCGCATTTCTTATTCATTGTATAAATTCAGATTTGGCAGTGTTACTTAGAAGATTGGGGCAAAAGTAATTCTTCTCGGGTCAAGTTGTTTTAAGGAGTAAAATATACAGATCACAACCGGAAGAAAACCAACAAATGTATTTCAGTCGGTGGAACTCTTACAAGGTGTGACAACAGGAGATGACGTGCTGGGCCTTGTTGGACGTTTGCATTGGAGGCAAGACTGCAGAGAGGTGAAGTGCAACCGCTGTGGATTACCAGCAGAGGGTGCCAGTCAGCTTGGTTTGAAGACTCACTCTAATGTGACTGCCTACTCTTCATTATTAGTATATAGCCAATCACCTATCAAATA